ATCATGAAGCAGTAAAGAAAATTAAAATTGTCCCAGCTTAAGAATAAAATGTTGGTAAATTCTATATATTGTCACACATACTGTTCAGTTCAGCTGTGAACTATAGCTGGCATAGACCACATTTATATTCCCAAGCAAAATTCAGAACTTCACTCATGAAAAAGCGAATAAATTCTATCCTTATTTTCCTAAGTAGGAGTACTGAATACAGAGCTAAAGCACTTTTAACTACTATCTTCTACAAAGACCTGCTACTCTAGAAGAATAGGGTTCTATAAGAACATTAAGAATGGTCTGCTTCTGCCACTGTCAGTGAAGTAATTTATGTTCAATCTTTAGCCTTCAGTGTTATACTAAGGTGGAAAATTCTATCAATATTTTCTTTTGAATTTTTTTGATTCTCACAGGTAACATTTTTACTAACAACATGCCAAAATACTATTTTGGTATTGCAAAAGATTAAGTGGGAATATCAGTTCTACCTCTCTCTAGTAAAAGGTAGCCAAATATATTATGGAATTTCATTAAGTTCTTGATATAGATTTTTAGGACATACCTACTGCTAATGTGTTATTATTTAGTGTAACGGTAAATAACACTAGGTCAGTAAACTGCTTAAATCAAAATATACAACCCAAGCACGAGATATTAAGTTTCTAAAAAATTACTTACAGCAAAACCTTTCCTTAATATTTTAAGGAGGGAGAAAAAAACTGGCATCAGAAAATATGTCTTCTACTGTCTACAATTTAATATTTGAAGTTGGAGGCCTGCTCAGAGGTGAAAAGGAGTATAACTTTTTATTCCAAAATGCTTTTGCCCCACAGTCCTTTAAGGTCCGACACACTGGGAACTGGGCCTATCCTATGTGCAACACAGTGAAGCAACATCTGTCCAAAGACAGAGGAATGTTTTCCACTGCCTCTATAAATGCCTGCAGTCTGTGTTCATGTATATTTACACAGCGCTGCTTTTCCTGCAGGAAGGAAAAAGTCAGACTCACTGACGTTGTTTTTGACCCTCAACGTGAAATCGATACTGTCAATGTACATGTTAATTAAAGATTAGATCAAAACTACTTTTTAGTTAAAGCATGATTCTGAACAAATGCTTTCACTTCAATTAAAATTAATATATGGTATTAACAAAAAAATATATACATTATTGCTTCTTCCAGTGTTTGTCATGGCAAATTTTTCTGACAGATGTTTCCTCTCTTTTCAAACATGTGAGGAGATGCTGGAGCCTTAGCAATTTAAAAATAAACATTAAATGCATTTATATGTTATAAACAAGATCCACTGAGAATACTATACAATGAATAAAGCAAATTGTTACTTGATTTAACTATCTTTTAAGCCTCAGCAATGCTAATAGTCAATCCATCTTTTTTGTTAATGTAAAAACTACAGCTTGCTAGCTGGGTTAAAATCCCCCTAGTTTCTGATACCTTTAAGGTGAATTTCAGGACCTATAATTCAGACTGAATGTTCACTGTATGTCATGTAACTATAAAACACCTAGTATCTTTAGTTAGACTGTAGAAACATTAGGTTTCTTTGAATTATAATGTGAACTTCAGTAAAAAGAAAAGTAACTTTCTTTCACCATGGTTACAATTGAGCAGTTGTAACAACAGATCTTTTATGTGCTTCAAGTAGAATTTTTAAAAGGTAGGTTTGTGAAAAGTTTTGTATTTGTTTACTTACATTATTGTTAGTTTTCGGACATTACTTAATTTCTGCCTTTAGGTGTGGTCCCCATAGTTCTCCCACGACCATTGCACCTGTGATCTAACACCCTATTTCCTTATGCTCTTCCCTCCCCTCTTTTGGCCCTTATATCTCGTTTGCCTTCCCTGATTTTGAACTTATTCCTGCTGTATGCCTTAGTTCTATGGTCAGCTTGCAAGTTTGTCCTGATCTTTATTTAATTTCTCTGTATTCCACATGTAAATGAAACCAACCAATATTTATCTTTTTCCTTCTGACTTAATCCATTCAGCTTAATCCCTTCCAGCACCATCATTGTTACTACATTAATTTATCTTTTTTGATAGCTGAGTAGTATCCTGCTGTGTATATATACATCTTCTTTACCCATTCCTCTGTTTGGGGGCATTTAGGTTGTTCCCATATTTTCACTATTGTAAATATAAAACTTAGATATTTTTATCACAAAACTCTGGGAAGGTCTTAATAAGTTCTAAGTGCCTTTCATTTTGTTTGTTAGATCTAGTCTCAAACTAAATAATTTTATATGCAAAAGAAATATATATGCATCACTTATGTAGATACAATGTTGGTTTTGATTTGCAGTTCTCAATAAACTTATGAAATTAGACCATTCCCTTCAAAAAAAAATCAATGATCAGCATAGTTTTTTAGAGCAATCTAAACTAGCTTTTGAAACTTCTAGTTCCAATTCCATCAATTGTTTACTCCATAAACAAGAGCTATGAAAGACCCAATTTAAAGGAATTATTGCTTATTTTTCAATTTGAAACACCTTTTTTGAAAGCTGAATCTTTAATATTCAAATTAAAAAAAATCAATAGACTCCTTTAGAAAACTCTAAGCTCCATTTTATAGATAGGGAAAGTAAAGTACAGTCAGTGGGGCCCAAAGTTCAAAGATGCACAAAGCAGAATTAAAACTTGAATCCAGGTCATTGATTCCAAAAGCCAAGCTCTCAACTACTCTATGGGGTGGGGTACAAGGATTGGGGGGCTCAAGCAAAGGCACAGAAAGGTAAAGTGAGGGAAGCAGGTGAGAATTTGACTTAGGTGAATTGGAGAGCTCAAGTCTTACTGAAGACAACTGTAGCTACTCAGTTCCAAAACAGCATAGCAACGCAGGGATGCTGAACTTGAGAAATAAGACTAGATTGTGAGCTCATCTAATTTAAAAGAATTGGATTAAACATATATATATATATAAAATGATGGATCATGAATGATGCGGTAGCAGGGGAACTACAGGGACTACAATAACATAAAAACTAATTTAAAAATAAAGAAAAATACTATGTGTGTATATATATATAAATGAATATATATATACATATATATACACACACATATATATATATACACACACACACGGGGAAGCAATCTGGTCATGCTATCAAGGATATGGAACAATTAGAACTCTTATGCCCTACTGGTGATACTGCCTATCAGCTGGATCTCTCTTGCAATAAACCTGAGCTTGCTAATCTTCAGTCCAGTGTGCAGGTAATTATTCCCCAATCACTCAGATGTGCCACCCTATCGGCAACATCCGAAAGGCCTTCAAAAATACTTGAACACATTTTTATAGTTAAAAGTACCACATCTAGCAGTCCCATTCCTAGGGATTTTCTCAAGTAAAATGAAAACCTATACTCACAAAAGTCTGTGAATTTTTATAGTGGCTTTTTTATAATCATGAGAACTGGAAATCCAAAGGTCTGTCAATTGGGGAATGGATACAAAGATTGTGGTACAACCATTTAATGAATCCTACTCAGCAATAACTACTGAATTACTGGTGAACTATTGATATGAAAAATAATATGATGGGCCCTCCCTGGTGGTGCAATGAAGCTGTCTACAGTACTCCAGCTCGAGTTGGACCCCTGGCAAGGGAGGTGACCCACATGGTGTGGCAGATCTCTCCTGACACGCCCACTGCTTCCCTCAGCAGTGTATTTCAGTACATCTGCCTGTTCTGCTCCCCACTCTGTCTCTGGTGAATTCTTTCACCCCATCTCCCCCACTTCTGGCCTGTACCCCAGTTCTTGTATGCATAAATAAACCTTTTAAAAAAAGAGAGAGGGCCCTCCCTGGTGGCGCAGCCGGTTAAAGCATTGCACTAAGAACCTTAAGCCACTTCCGCATGAGTTCGATCCCCGCCTGCCCCGGAGGAGATCCACATGGCATGGCAGACCTCTCCTGACCCACCCGCTGCTCCCCTCAGCAGTGTACTTCGTCGATCTGCCTGTTCTGCTCCCCACTCTGTCTCTGGTGAAGCCTCTCACCCTCCGCATCTCTAGCCTGTACCCCAGTTCTGTATGAATAAATAAATCTTTAAAAAAAAAAGAAAGAAAAACATATGAACTGCTGATATGAAAAACAAGGTGAATAGATCTCAAAAACATGTTAAGCAATGGATGCCAGAATTAACAGGCCATATCCTGTATGATTTTATGGCATTCTGGCAAAGACAACTAAAGAGACAAAAATCAGGGCCCTCCCTGGTGGTGCATAGGGTTAAAGCACAGCGCTAAGAAGCTAAAGCCACTTCAGCATGAGTTCGATTCCCACCTGCCCGGGAGGAGATTCACATGGCATGGCAGACCTCTCCTGACCGGCCTGCTGCTCCCCTCAGCAGTGCGCTTTGTCAGTCAGCCTGTTCTGCTCCCCACTCTGTCTCTGGTGAATCCTCTCACTGCCCCTGCACCTCTGGTCTGTACCCCAGCTCTGTATGTATAAATAAATAAATCTTAAAAAAAAAAAAAAAAGACAAATCAAAGCAGTATTTGCCAAAGACGAAGGACTTGACTACAGAGGGTCAGCACAAGACAGTCTGGGAAAATGAAATATTCCATATCTTTATTGTGGTAGTGGTTACAGTTGCGAGCCTCTGTTTTGCCCCTACCTCCTCTCACCTCCTGTAGTGACAGCAGAATGCAGTGAGCTATACTAGATAGGGTGAGGCTTGTGAGAGGCTAAGGGTGCAAAATCTAGGAAGCCCTTATCACCTAATTTACCTCACTTTAGTAGTCCTGGCCTACCTTCCCTTCAACCTTATTTCCATACACTTCTCTACTCAGATTTCCAAATCCCAAGAAGGAAATAGTTATGTATTTGCCTCCTTAAATGCCTGTTAAGATTTATAACTTAGTGACAAACCACTAGACTTTACTATTGTTATTGTGTCCTAGACTCTATATTTGGTACCCATTTTCGGTGACTTTCACTTTTTAAAATAATTTTATGCTACTCTTTATTAAAACAGGAAATCTCTCTTTGAAGGAATCTGAAAGCTTGCTGACAAAAATTATGTACATGAACCTTACCTCTCCAAAACCCAAAGGTAGAAGACAGTCTGTAAAAAACAAGCAAATTTAATCTGAAGTGACCTGAATCATTCGATTTACCTTTGTAGTACTCAACATCATTTTGTAGGGTTGGCGGTTTTATGGTATCTCATCAGATAAGAAAAATTTTTAGTTTCTTGTTTGACTTGCTTCTTTATAAAATCTGAAACACCAACTGCCTTTTTCCTTACTACATCCACTTAACTGGGAAGATAAAGAATTACTTTCTCATTCATCGAAAGAAAAGTCCTCTTTTGAATCAATCACCTTTTGGTTTATGTCTTTCTAACGTGCATTTTGATTACTGTCACTGAATGGCAATTGAGACAGAAAGCCTGAGGAGTATTCAGATTCACTAACCTACTTTAAGTGTAGAAAGATATACTCAAATACAACAAACGTCACCATGACTCTTTACTACATAGTAATTCCAATTTTAAAAATCTAAAGTAGAAAATAACGTCGCAGTTTTTATAATACTGTATATTCGATAGTCCGTTGGACCCTACAGATTATTCAATAGCCTGCTATTCGAATTTGTAGGCACTGCTTCAAGGATATTCAAATTGCGTGGCTAGAAAATAGAGACTCTGTCTTCGCCTTTGTAGGCACTGCTTCAAGGATATTCGAATTGTGTGGCTAGAAAATAGAGACTCTGTCTTCACCTCCGAAGGCGAAGGGTGCTCCACTGGCAGAAGCCCTGGGGTGTCCCAAGCCCAGAGCCTCTCCCGCGGCTCTGAACGCGCTCTGGGGCGAAGGGCGCTTTCTAAAGAGCCTTAGCCCGGCCCTCGGCCCCTACAAGCACGGATACAAGCACGGACGATTCCCTGCCGGCTGGTCCAATTAACTAGGGGGTTGGGGAGGGAGTGGAAGGGAGGTGGGGGTGGGGGGGCGGTGATGGGTAGAGACTGGCCGGAATCTGCGCCCTTGGGAAGAAGCCACCACGGTCCCAGGCCGTTTACTCGGGTTTGGTGAACTTTCTAGAGAATCACGGGCAGTGATTCGAGGTAAGTGTAGTTTATCTCTGACAAGCTCTATAAACTGGTCTCAGAGTACCGAGGTGGAGGGACTCCTGTTTTAAGTAGTCAGGACAGATGAAACGTTTACCTTGTGGTAGGTAGAGGGAAAGGTTAGCGCGTCGAGGCCGCACACTCCACATTTCCTCACAGAAATGACAAGTCACGCTTCACAAAACCGAGTACTCCCTACTCACTCAGCGCCTGCCAGGAAGGCTCCAGGGCCCAGACAGGGACCCAGGAGGAACGACGAGGCAACCAGCCGGGTCGCGCTGGGGTCCTTGAGCCAGAGACTCCGGCCCCTTGGGTCATCTACCTCGTGGGCATGCAACGTGTCGAGCTTCAAGTCCCGCCTGGACCCGCGGGTGGGGTGGAGTGAGTCTGTGGGGCACGTGTGGGGGGGGAGTGGGCGGGGCGGGCGGAAGGACGCCCCGCCCCGTCGGACGGTTTGATTGATGACTCTCGGGGCAGAGGGGGAGGCCGGCGGCAGAGTCCCTCAGGTGCGCGCACATCTCCACCGACTTGCTGCGGTGGCCCGACGCCGAGCTCTGCCCGCACACACGCTCAGCAGCCCCCGAGCCCCCTAAAAGGCGCGCCTGTCTAGGACTGGCAGAGGCTGTCGATTTCACCTGGACGGCATGGAATGACCGACGAGGCTCTGGCCACGCAGACCCGACTCCAAGACCCGACTCCACGACCCGACTCCACGACCCTCCTGGGCTCACGCAACGGAGCCGAACCCCGCACCACCATTCCAGGAAAGATAAACACCCAGGTCTGACCCCTGTCGCGCTGCGCGCCCCCGGGTTACGGGTGCCCTAGCGGGAGGTGAGGACCAGGGTCCCTTTAAGCTTGTGCAGAAATTACCCTGGGGTCGCCTCTGGAGTCCCGGGCCTTGGGAGCGAAAGGTGAAGGAGGCTGGCGTTGGCACCCGTGCGTGGGCGAACCCAAGGCTTCCAGCTGCAATGGGCTAGCATGATCAGCACCAGCAATTAGGGTAGCAGCCTAACTAACATTCCAGAAGCACAGACATTTTCCGAAACGGCATTGTGCTTCGTAGATCTTTGCCCAGCAAGGGAGCTCTTTCGCTTGATTTGCCCGTACAAAGTAAAGCCCGCGCTGTGTGCGCCTCAGCCTTCTAGGAGCCCAGGAACTATCAGGCTCCACCACTCTCCCCAGACGCCGAGAGGCAAAAGCGCCTCAGAGTCGGCTCAACTCAGAGAACGCCCGGATCCCGTCTGGTGGCGGGATCCCGCGCGCAGAGAGTGCCAGAGGGCTACGCGACTACTGAGTTTAGCTCCCGCAGCGCCGGGACCTCACTGCGCGTCGATCCTTTGCAGCGCGCTCGGCGCGGGAAGCAGCCATGAACCGCGACGGCTCCACCGGCAGCCCTCTGATCGCCAGCCACGAGTCCGCGACCCCGGCCGCCGCCCCTGGCGAAACGAGCCCCGGGGGGGCCGGCCCAGGTCTCGCAGGCTCCGGCAGTTGCCAGCGCTCCGGCGCCGGGCGACCGGCGGCAGCCAACGCGGCGCGGGAGCGCAGCCGCGTGCAAACCCTGCGTCACGCCTTCCTGGAGCTACAGCGCACGCTGCCGTCCGTGCCACCGGACACCAAGTTGTCCAAGCTTGACGTGCTGCTGCTGGCCACCACCTACATCGCACACCTCACCCGCAGTCTGCAGGACGACGCCGAGGCCCCGGCGGAACCTGGGCTTGGCGCCCTCCGAGGGGATGGGTACCTGCACCCGGTGAAGGTAGGCGGACAGGGCGCGACACTAATATGGCCAGGAAACGAGGGATCTTGACCTGCTGGGTTCGCCACTGCCTGGGCAGGTGCCACCAAGCCCTCACCCCACTCTCGGGTGAAGGGAGAAACAGAGCAAAGAGACATCTTGACCCTAGAGGGAGCTGGTAGTGAAGTACCAGTTGCAGGATTCTAGTCCTTAACGATTCGCAGGGAGTGAATTTAAACTTGAGGTGACTTAAGTACGGAGGGGTGCCTCATGCCCTTTATAGTACAACCTACTGGATGCCCTTCCTAAGTGAGAAGTTTCTCAAAGTGCCTGGTGGGATGCTTGGTTGCCCTTCCTGGTACTTTTTTAGTGTCGTTGTTAGTTTGAATGTTTTTAATTCAAGTGCTTTTTTATCAAATGCTTAAAAAGTTGCAAGAATTAATTGGGGTCATGGAATCAATCATCCCTAAGTAGTCCAAGAAAGCATGTGAGAATTTTTTTGTGAAATTGTTAAGAAGAAAATAAGACCATTTTCTTCTCAAGACTTAACTGTCCTGTCCCTTCTAGTAGACAACAACCAAGACTGTTAGAAAAATTATATTGTATTTTTGTAGTTTTTATAGTAGATTGGTGTGTATGTTGAGTGAGTTGATAAAATACTATATGCAAACTCTGTAATGTACAAAATTAGCGTAGAAAACGCATCTTTTATACTTTTTTTTTTTTTACATTTTATATATAACTAGAATGGTCAGGGATTTTGTTTAGTGTGATACAGATTTACCCGTATCTGAAAGTAGACAAAATCTGTATGACTTGGTAGTTATCTTTGGGTCTGGGAAAGCTTAACAATTATTTAATGTAATTTAACCTGGCTGCCTGTTCAAAATGCATCATCTTCTCTATATTTTCAGTTTTTTGGTTCCACCATTCCAAAGCACTTTGCCAAAACACACACAAATACAAAATTGGGATTTAACATTAAGTACATAAATTGGTGTTGTATAAATTTTTGAATAATAACTACTGAAATGTGGTTAAGCATACTCTCTAATATTAACTGAACTTAAAGTTTAATGAATTTTAACAAAATTTACAGATACAATCAACATAATAGATTCGAGCTCTTTCAATGCTAAAATATAACAATATAAAATACTGTCTCATTCATTTATAATTATGATTCACCCCACTCCTGAATTATGTAACATAATCTCAGTGGAGAGGTCATTCATTATTAACTGTCTTGTATTACAGTGTTATTTGATTGCTATTCAAATCCATCATTAATATTAGATTTATTTTAATTTGGCATTTTTCATAAACACTAAGAAAGTTTATCTTAACATCAAGTTAACTTTAATACAAAAGCATCTGTTAAATGCCTTTATGGAGTGATATAATTCAGATGAGAAATCAAGTTGTTTTTCACCAAGTTGTTTCTTGCAATTTTTTTTTTGAATAGCAGTGTTAGAACCACAATTTTCATGTAATAACTTTAACAAGTGTTTTTTTTTACTTATTTTAGATGCCAAATATTTTAATATAACTCCTTTAAGAAAAAATAAATTTCATTTATCCTTGAATTCAACTATTTTTATTTTAAAATAAAGTCAAGATCAACTCTTAACCATGAAATTGATGATGGATAAACAAGTCTAGACTGTTTTAAAACCACTGGTGGTGCCTTTATAATATGCAAAGCACTGTTTTGAATACTATAAAGAATTCTGCACTTGAAATAGATGATCTCTCCTCACAGTATACACTACATCTATTAGTCTACTCAGGCTGCAATAACAAAATATGGAAGACTAGGTGAGTAAAACAACAGAAGTTTGTTTTCTTACAGTTCTCCAGACTGGAAAGTTCAAGATCAAGTACTGACCAATTTGACTTTTGGTGAGAGCTCTCTTACCAACTTTTCACTCTGAAATAAAAGGAGCTTCCCTGTTTTTAAAAAAATCTCTAATACTATCTTGAGGAGCCTGTACCATCACGTTGGTGTTTAAAACATCACCATGTGACCAAGAGAACACACACATTTAACTTCTGCATTATTCTGAAGCGCCCAGGCCAATTTCTAAAATACTTAAGGTAATAATCCTGTGGCAGGACTTCCAAGGAAAGCACCAGTGAGAGTGATACACCCAGAGTATATAAGAATGCACATCTGTGAATTAAAAACCACCACCATGAAATGGGTTTGCGGAAGTAAGTAGCACACTACCCATCTTATTACTTATTGTATGTAAACTATAAAGTTGTTTTATAAGAAGATTATTTACTAGTGGATCATTTTAAATTTCAATTATACAAATTTTATCTATGTCTAAAGTATTGATTCCCAGTTAGAATAATCTGAATTTAGGATTTTTAAGTGATCTGGGTACATGGAGCAAGTTCACCTATCTCACCTGGAGTCAAAAAAATAGGATTTTTATTGGTTGCTGAAAAAAGTAATGTTTCAGATAAATATCATATTACTATTCTTTATAACTACATTTTATATCTGGTATCCCATTTAAGTTATAGTAAATGGATTTGGAGTTACAATACAGGTCTATATTGTTCCAGATAACATCTGACTCTACCTTACTCTTTTCTGCAGAAGAGGTCCATTTTGATATAATTGGTCTGGATTATGACTTGACCATCAGTATTTTTTAAAAAACGCCAGGTGATTATAATATAGCATGGGGTAAGAACACAGTTTCTGAAGTCTTTAGCCTGTTAATACTTGTACCTGTGAATCTTGCAGATTACTTAGAGGCATTTACAAACAATACATGGTTCTCTGTAAACAACTATCTGCCAGTCAATGTACCCCTATGAAGACAGTGCGCTGTACATGAAAGCATTTACTTTCTGGAAAATGGGGGACCCTATTATTGATCTTTGGCAGTTGTACTTTTTAGTCTAAAAGCTTATTTTGTATAACAGAAGTAGTATTTCTCTGGTTAGTATTCCAAAGATCATAAAGCCAAGCTGATTCTATGACCCCTCCAAAAAAATAAAAAAAAGAGGCGGTCCATTCGGAGATAAAGACCTCTTTTAGCTACTTAATGTGATATGTTTTCTCATCATCATGACTATCTGGCAATCAATTATATTGTTTGAAGTGGTTTTTTTAAAAGATTTTATTTATTTATATATTTATACTTACAAGAACTGTAGGGTAAACCACAGGTGTTGGGGGGGGAGGTGCCCGGGGCCAGGGTGTGGGGGCGGGGATTCACCAGAGACTAGTTGGGAACGGAACTGGCAGCTCCTGTGGCTGACAATAGCTTGATAGCGCTGAAACTTAACCCCTGCGCCACCAGGGAGGCCCGAGGTGATTCATCTTAAAGGTGAGTTTAGAAAAGTCATAAACGTAATGCATACCTGATGATTACTGAAAAACTGGAGCTGTGTGATACCAGTACATCTAGATATTTAATCTGATGTTCAATCTATGTAACACCAAACATTCTAATAATTGTACATTCCAGATGTTCTTTTAGATGGATAATGTATTTAGAGCTTTTAACTAGTCACTTTTCAGTGTAATTCTTTTAAGTGTAGACTTATGACACCTTGCATGTATAATTTTTTAAAATGACTTTAAAGCCATGGATCTCATCTTATGCTTAATTTGTTTTAAATTTAATTTGAAATTAAAATATTGTTGGGAGTTTTATTTCCCTACACTTAATTATGTTTTCTCCATATTTCTTGCCTTCTTGTACACATACAATGATAATAAAAGCCTGTGTATTTTTTTATTAATAATAATTTTGTTAATTATTTTTTATATTTTTGATTGTTAATTTTGTTAATAAACATTTTTTTCATGCTGTCCTTTAGACTTCATATTGATAATTACAATTGTTACTAGCTTCATTATACTGCATTTTCATAAGTATTTGGAATAGTTAATTTTACTGTTACAGACTGTGATATCTGTCATCGATTCTAATTTTTGGGTTCTTGTTTAAATATTCTCTTTCAGAAATGGCCCATGAGATCAAGACTATATATTGGTGCTACTGGTCAATTTCTGAAGCACTCTGTCTCTGGAGAAAAACCAAATCATGGCAGTACTCCTTCAGACTCCCAGCCTTAGGCTTTCCTTTGATAGGAACTGGTAAAGAAAATGGTGTTTATTGTTTTTAAATGGTATGAAATAATTGTATATTTATTACATCAGACATAAGAAACATTTCTGAAAGTTACATATTATCCCATAGTTGGATGTCTAGATTTATCTAAGCTAAATAAATGTAGGATAAAATAACTGATCTAGTATGAAATCCATAGCTTATCTATTCAGTGTGAGAGACATGAGACACTGTCAGAAAAGAGCAAAAGATGCGATAAAGCAAAGCATTTTGTGTATGTGTGTGTTATATCTAAAGAAGACAGTCTCTATAGTGCCTCTTTTACAAACAGAAAAGCTGATGTCTATCAATGCAACCCTCCCAAGTAAAGATAAAAGCTGTGTTCATAATACATCAACATTCCATTTTTGTGAAACCAGTTTGTGCTTAGAGTTGGCTTAAAAAGCCATTTCAGTTGGAAGATGTAGTTTTAGCTGCGTATATGTATTGTGCTAAGGCAATATGAAGATGCAATCACTTCTGTAATTATTTGACTCTCTTCAAAAACTTGTAAAAAGTATTAAAAGTGGTTTCCTTCCTGGGCAGGGCTTGAAGGACAAGCTTTTCTAGACAAGCAGTAAATATCTTATATTTCCAAATTGTAGAAGGCATTAGAAATCCCCAAAGCCTACTTCCAACAGAAGTTGGGTCACTGGGCAGCTGGGTTTGTCATTTCCTCATTGATCACTTTACATCTACTCCACACCCTCTTTCAGGTCCTGGGGAGCACATTTTAATGTGGATTAAGTAAGCAGGTGCTTACCCTAAAGAAAGGGACATGTTCAGGCCTTTGGGGGACTTGAGTAAACTCCAGTGATCCTCACAGTCACGACTTTGGCCAGAATCCTCTTCCCCTTCTCAGCTGCTGTTCACAGTATACCTGTGAACAGGTATGACTATCTGATTTGAGAATTGTGATACCATTGCACTATGATGGGGTCAGAAGAAGCAGAATGACTACCCTGAGATAAATCAGGCAACAGCCGACCACCATTTGGACCTGTCCCCATTTGGACCTACAACCCTACTTGGACTGAAAAGGAAAATCTTTCTCATGGGCCTCTCCTACTACACTGCGTGTCAAGTCTTGGGAAGTCTCTGTTCTGCCTGATTGTGCCAGTAGCTTCAAATTTTCAACAGGAGCTTGGGGGATAACAGCTGAGAAAGAAAGCTATTTATTGGGAATACACTGGCTCTCAAAACAACAGGATACAATAGAGACACCTTGAATATCATCAGTCTCTCCTTATACATTTGCTGGTTTAAATCTATAATACCTCCTTTTCTCGTTTTCCTTCTCAATCTTTATTCCATTTACCCACTATACTGTTCATTTATTTCTCAATAGCCCAGTTAAAAATTGCTGAATTTAATCTAAGATTAGCAAGTAAAAAAGGAATGTTAATGGAGTTGGCTGAATTAATGTAGCCATTTAACTACTATCATGTTTTCTCCTTACCTTGGTTTTCTTCCAGTTCTTGCAGTGAAATGAAGTAAAAAACTATTTGAAGGCAAAAATTAACATTTAGTTTATCCAACTGAATATGACCATGTTTTGGCTCATGTCTGATAATAGGTAGTTTTTATTATTTTACTGTGAATGTATTCCTTGTAATGTGACTAAAGCATGGCTTTAAAATAAAAGGCATATAATGAAAGCTTCCTACTATTATGTAGCAAAAATGTTTGTATATTTAAATATGTGTAAATTAAGTATATTTATCCACTCATATAAACGCTGAAAGGAATAAAAAGTAAAACGAGATGATTCAGCTATTTATTTATAAGTTACTAGCATTAAACATGCTAAAAACAATCTAAAATGTGCTAAAGGAATGAAATAGATTAGTCTTTAAAATTATTTGAAAATGAATGGTGTGCACTAAATTTGATACCAAAAATTGTTTTCTTCCAGATAATAATAGCCTGTTAGGCTAGTTTTTAAAACATTTAACTGGGCAAAGGGATAGAGAATATGACTTCTCTGAATGACCCTGTTAGTTAAGTTTTACTTTTGACAGTCTTACTTTATATTTTTTCTTGTTCAGTTACAAGAACCACAGACGTATAATTTTATGTAGGTATTTATAACATTTTATCAAATTCTTGAGGATGCTAGCAGGTTCTGTAAGTTGGATAATCTCAGACAAGAAACTGCATATATTAACCCAAAGGTGATAAGGAGAATGCTGGTAATTAATGATACATGGTCGAAATAACTGATGTTACTAAAATAAAATAAAGCCCCAAAAATTAATTTAGTCTGTTAATTTTGGATTGACAATAAAAGGGACAGACCAAACCAAACTCTACAAATCCGAGTGTAAAACTGAGGCTGCCAAAGAACATGGTGTGGAGAGGGCTCAGTGGACTGTGATGGACGACTATGGTAACAGCCATCTGAAAAGGTCTTTACCTGTATCTTTGAGTCACATGCAGTGCTGTACATCAATATTTCCCGTTTAAAAAAGTATATAATACTTTTCATCTACCTGTGGTTATTTTAAAAATCCGAAACTACATTTTAAAATCTTTCTAAAAGATAAATCTCTAGGTGGTATTAATGTCTTTACCACACTGTCTTTCATAGAGTATATAATAGACTGGGAAGAGGATATTCTTGGATCACAGTATTAGTCCATAGTTTGCAAAGGAAATCCTCAGAAATTTGTCATTTCATTTAGTTCTTAGTAATATAATATATATTTAAAATTCCTCTATAATGGTAAAAATTGCACCTTTTAGAAGCATAAACAATTCCAACAAACTTGAAAATATTGATTCTTTTTCTGATTATAAAAATACACCTAGTGCAATTAGTCAGCTGTCAGTTATATGTCAATAAAGCTACATTAAGAAATGTGTACCTACATCCTTTAAAATATAAACTTAACAGAGGAATGAAGTGGAAAGTAAAAGGCCTACAGGGGAGATGGGCCACACATTATTTTTAAAAGTAGTATTGCGTGAGGGGAGAAACCTAAACAGTCAAAATATTAATAAGGATGTAAAACAGTAGTAGTTCATTAAAATAATGATTAATATGTTCACACATTTTATGCTTTTTGACCCAACTACCATAATCTGCAGTTACTGATACCCTAAAAAGTAGTTTTCTTATTTATTCAAGGAGAATTTAATTAAACTTAGTAGAAACTATTCAAAAAAAGAATATTGATTGACCTTATTAATTCTTTTAGTAAGTAAAAGTATACAGTAATTCTTTTCCTTCAAATTGTTTAAGTTTAATTCTTCAATAATGTCTGTCTCTCAAAGAGCTTCATTTTATATTCATGAAAGCAATTATTTTCAGTAAGAGTGAAAATAATCAGGCTCTAAGGAGGTGACATTTTTGAGTAGAGTGAGGTAATCCTATATTTTCCAAATACTATTTAATCTCTTTCTTTAGGCCTCAATGTATCATATCAACATCCTGAAGAATTAAATCAATACAGACAGAGCATCTACACAGTGGCCAACACAATTCCCTTGGAAATCAATATATGAATTGTCTCTGACATTGCAAGACAGGTTCCTTGCTTGATCTTAATTGCATTCTTAGCTAATGGAGAAGAAATTATAATTTTAAAACAATGCTAAAAAAACTATCATGGGGGGCCCTCCCTGGTGGCACAGCAGGTTAAAGCACAGCACTAAGAAGCTTAAGCCACTTGCGCATGAGTTTGATCCACATGGGGAGGCAGACCTCTCCTAGTCCACCGCTGCTCCCCTCAGCAGTGTACTTCCTCGATCTGCCTGTTCTGCTCCCCACCCTGTCTCTGGTGAATCCTCTCACCCTCCCCATCTCTGGCCTGTACCCCAGTTCTGTATGAATAAATAAATCAATCTTTAAAAAAAAAAACTATCATGGGATGGTACTAAGGGACAATGCCAGAGGGGGGATTCTCACCCATGTGCTTAATTTAAAGACACCACTCAGATGCAGGGTCCAACAGTAATGGGATAGATTTAACAAACAGGAGACTGGGAGAAAGAAAGAGTTTCTAAGGCTACAAGAGGCTGGCTATCTCACAGTATATAGTGTCCACAGTGTCCAGTAGTCCCAAACAAAGTCTGCTCATGCAACAACTCATCAATGAGGCCTGGGGCTGGTGGCACACCAGTCAACAGTACACCAGGGTCCATGCATGATGGTCATTGGAGATGCTCACAGATGACAACATAGCAGCCCACAGCAACAGTCTGGAGTCCTGGATAGCTCTGGATGCCAGACTGGACAGTGACAGACTCAACATCAGGAAACATGCCAGAGAACCAGAGATGGACAAATCTCAAGCTGGCCAAATAGTGTGCCAATCACTGATTAGTAGTGCTGGTCAGCACTGATCACTAGGAGGTAATGTCAAAGACACTAGTGCTATAGCTGTTTGTGAGGTGTTGGTCTGAACCAACAGCCAACAGCTCTTTGACACTAGACCAAGGCTGGTGGTGCTCCTTTCAAGTGACATTAGAGGCAGGGCTGGAAGAAGGTGCAGCAGCCACCTTCTGAAGTTCTACAGAGATATGCAGGTCTGGAAGTTTACAGGGATATGCAAAATTTTGCTGAGTCCCACAAAGGTCATCTGTTGAATCCTTCTTCATTCTTCAGAAGCTGGCTGCTGAGTGCTGCTTCTCAGTTTGGAGGCTGGATGCTGAATAAGTCATGTTGGCTCTTGCTCTGCCTTATATCATCTTCTGGGTCCACCATCTCCCAGGCTCATTGGACCAGTTTCAATATTATGCATGTGATTGGTGACAGCACCAGTCATCTTGCTTCCATTTTCAATCCACATAATTAACTCAAGGTTTGAATGACAGCTGGAGAGTGTGAACATTATGGGTCCATGTACTCAAATCCTGTTTCACTGATGCTTACTCCCTTTATTTTCAATACACATAACTCAAAGCTTGAATGACAGCTGGAGAGTTTGAATCTGATTTGTTCAGATATGATTTTGGCACAAGA